GCTTATTGTGCAATCTAAACATTTAAAAAGGTAAATCAATAATATGTTTACAAGAAATCGGTCATAACATAAGAATTGAAACGCTTTAAGAAATTATCGCTTCTTTTACGCATCTTATTTTCATTTCTGTGACGATTCCAAGCAAAAGTAACCAAGATAATATTGTTACTATGGCCTTAAAAAAATCAATGTTCCATCAAACGTGTCAAGCAGTATAGATTATAACTAAATTATTATATATCTAACTCGGTTTAGGTGTAGGCGTGTACGCACGCTATAAAGACGCGTTTTCAAAATTATTACAATAAATAAATCCACGTTTTGCAATTTACACATCATCTACGATTTAAAATAAGGCCAAAGTTAGGATTGTTTTTTATTTTTTGTTTTATTTTTACAGATTTGATTCAAAAAAGTCGCATTCATGGGTGTTTAATGTTCCAAAACAAACCGTATAAATTATTAAAAATATCTGGGGCGAAACGGTTTTACGCACGCGTCACATCCACGTCCCTTCAAAGCAACTATCACGTCTCATTAGTCTGAATTGATTTGAACGCCACTTCTATCCGTATTCACTCAACATTTTAGAGATTTACCACGCTAATCTATTCCAGGCGAATTTTAAAATCGAGAAATGACGCTGTTTCTTGAGTTAGCGCCGTTTACGATCGGATAGTTTGATTTCCTCTCTCCCGAGGCCTCCTCTTTCTCTCATTCTCGGCGTATTTCAGACTTTTACGCGCGCATCCGCCAGGTGTCGCTCTGTAGCCGCGCACAGACCCGGTGAGCAGACTAGACCGGAGCGCTGGCTGACTGGCTGACTGGCTGGAGAGTCTCGGCTCTGCTCGCTTCTCCTCCCCGCTGCTCGACGCGCACAGTCCGGGGCAGCGTGTGGAGGAAGCGTCGCCCCCCCCAAGTGCCGAGCGCGACGCGGGGCTACGGAGACACGGCGGCAGTGGCGGCGGCGAGATGAGATTTTTCTGGAGACAAAGAATTTACAGTTGCTCGTGAAAGTTTCGCGCGTGTTTAGCCTCGTTTCGGCGCAGGGTCACGGAGAGTTCAGGCTTCCTATTGCAGCAGCTAAACAAGCTATTAACCCGCAGTGCTGTTGCTTTAAACCGACCAGACAACGCGTTTTATTCACGTTTTGAGACAGATTTACGTTTGGAAAGAGTGCCGATTTTTGTGCGTAAAAGTTAAGCCGCGAACGTAATTAAAAACCTTTCCAAACCCACGTTACTTTATCTGTTAAAACAAGACTGCAAACATTCTCACACTCCAAATCTCAGGTCTAGGTTTTTTGCGCGTAAAAGTAGTCCAGGTTAACCAAACGCCTCTTGAATTCTCACATACATGTTGCCTATTTTAACTCAAGTCCGCGCCGTGCCAATCCGGGTTTATCCGTCTACATTAACCAAGCGCATTTGCATAATCTTCCACCGGTCTGGAGAAAAGGCCACTACAGAAACTTAAAAAACAAGATCACAGTTTTTCTTTTGTTTCTCACAGGAGGTAGGAGGTCAGTGATGAAATGAAACGCAAAAATCATTCCGCGTTGGATTAAACATCATAAAACAATGCATTTTTACGCAGCTACTTACAAATTGCTTAACTGTATTTGTTTTATTCACTAATATAATGTAATTTTTCACCAAGGAATTACATTTTTTGAGTTCCAGCATCTATATGTTTGCCTATCTGTCTGTTTGTGTATCTATTTTTAAAGAATCTGCGCTCCAAACCACTCAGTTTTGCAATTTACGCACAAATTAAACGACTTTACGCATCTATATCTACGTTTTTTGAGTTATCTGGACGTCCTTGTTTGTCAAATTCACGAAAATAAAAGAAAAATAATCAGAAAAAAATGCTGATATTCACAACAACTTGGACATTTTTTTTCCTTAAACGCCAAACTTTTTTTTTTTTTTTCTGAATACCTTTAGGATGAGCCTCCCCGGGGTTCTTTGCGCTCGTTGATTGTTGTGTGTATGTGTGTGTGTGTGTGTGTTTGCCTTGAAATGGATCCTTGACCGCCCCCCTTCTCCTCTCCACTCCTCTCCTCTCTTCACTCTCCTCTCTCCTCTCTCCTCTCTTCGCCCCCCCACCCTCCACTCGCCTCCTCCTAATGAAGCCAAACGCAGCTGGCCCCGTCCCACTTGGACACCGAGCGCTTTAACCCTCACCTAACCCCAACCCGACACCGCCAGATGAAATTGTACCGCGGCTTAATGCCATCCACTGATTTGGGGTTGGCTTTTCTTTACGTGCGCGGGGGAGCGAGTTGTAACTAACTAAGTAACCAGCTCACACTTCGGTTACTGTAACAAGCCTGACTCCAGTTTGCTTTTACGCAGAGTTAATGCCATTTTAATCCGAGTTATTACATTTTTTTTTATTCATAACGTGCTCAAATTTCTTTCTATTTATCAGTTTATTTATCTTAGGAGCAAGCTGTAACTAACTAACCTAACTCTGACCGTGCGTAAAACCTGTCTTCTGTTTTGTTACTCAGTTATTATTATTGTTTTTAATTCAAATTTTAATCTGATTTCTCTTCTTGAAGTGAATTCGTGGGAAAAAAAATGTAGATCTGCATCATAGTTTATTTAATATTTTCTATCTATCTTTAAAGAGTCTGTACGGGTTATTACCAGCTCACCATTGCGCATTACTCTACTCCAAACCACTCAGTATAGGTATTTACGTGAAATTAAATCTTAAATCTTCTTTATTATTGTGTTTTTTAGTTTGCTTCATGGTCTTATTTGTCAAATTTAACCAAGTTTTATTGTCAAACATGGTCCACTAAAAAATTCAAACTCAGATTCTTAAAAATTCTAATATTGTTGAGTTTTATTTAATGTCCAAATGAATAAATCTTGCTCAAAATTCGTGTAATTCCAGCGTATAGTGGAAGTATTTTTTTTTCTATCGCGTATGGAAAGCCTGGCGATTGGATACGGATAATTAGTCGCTGCTATTTTCACACGCTCCCCGCGCTGTTTACGCCGCTCTCCTCGGGGGCAAATCACATATTTCCACGAGGATCGAAGTGGTGTTGAAAAAATCTAAAAAATAAAATTAAAAAAATCTCCAAAAATAAAATTAGAATTAAAAAAAGACATGATTTTGAACATAAAATGCTTTGGTTACGCAGGATAAGTTGGGATAGCTCCGTGCGTAAAAGTTTGAATTTGGATTAAAAATTACGCATGAATATTCAAATGTGAAAAAGTTCCAATACTCACCGTGTAATCCCACAGCAGCACGAGTTAAAAAGTCACAAAATCATGCCACCAAGTAAAGTATCGTATCCTGTTTTTCAATTTTTAGCGTGGTGTTTACAAAGAGAGGGCGTCTCGCTGGACTTCGCTGGGACCCTTTGGCTGCGCGCTGTGCCTCTCCTCTCCGCTCCGCTCCCACTTCTTTCGCCTTTTCCCCTTCCCTTCCCCGGCGCGCTGCACGTTCAGATGTCCACACGGCCGTTTGTCAAAGCCAGCCACAGCCCTCTCCACTCCACCCCGCTCTCCCCCCGCCGCCGCCACGGCAACAAACAGCGTGTTGTCTCGCGTTCATTTATTAAACCTCGCTTTTAAAAAATCTCTATCTATTCTGTTCTTTTTTCCCCGCTCCCTCCTCTCTCTCGCGTTAGATTTAGACTTTATTGACCCCTCTCTCCGTCTGACCCCCCTCCTCCTTCGCTCGTCTCATTCTCACGTTTTTACACCTTGAGAAAATGTCACGTAATAGAATTTTACGAAGCATCTATGAGTGGTCTTGATGGTTTATTAGCGCTGATGGTTTTAAAGGGACACACGCGGATGGCCCCGTAGTTGCTTTCGGTTTGTAAAAGAGCCCCAGTCTCCCCCCTCCACCCACCCTCCACCCTCATCCTCTTTCTCCCGATTCGAAAACGGGGGGTGAAAATCGGCCAAGGAAGCCTCGCTGGCCACCCCCCCACCCGCTTCGCTGCGCAATCGATGTCCCCCTCCACCCTACACCACCACACCACACCACACACTCCTCTCTCCCACCCCACCTCTCCAAACGCGGTCCCCGGGCATGATGGATGACCCTACGGGGTGGGGGCTTTGATAATTGAGTGAGGATTGGAGGAACACAAATGACTTTCTCCGCCAAGTTAATTCGCGTGTGGACTCCGCGAGGTGTCTGAGAACTTCTCCCAAAAATAATTAGTTAGACCATTGTTATTAGCGCAGACAGGTCATCAACAAATCAGAATAGTGTGTATAAATCCAGCAAGTGTTTATTTCAACGCCCCTGTGCAGGCTGGGGTTTCGTATTTCACAAACGCGCATTGATAAGATGGGAAAAAGTAAGTAGGTGTTTGCGTAAAGATGTGAAAATGGAATATATTTTGACAAAACTGCTCAAATGAAGCTATAAGAGTCACAAGAATGCTATGAAATGTGAGACTTTACTCAATGGGATCCTATTGCAAAGTATAGGGCTTAAAATGGCTGACCAGTCGATTTGAATGGTGCGTAATGTGCGTAAAATGTGTTGGTGAAAAAAAAAAAAAAAAAAAAAAAAGACACAATAAGTTCTATTTTCTTGCACAGTAGTAACACAGTGGTTGTTAAAAATGATATCGCAATAAAACAAAGAAATACACGTGTAAGCTGGAACTTTCACACAGGAAAGTATAAGCAGGGTGTACAGTGAAGTGATTCCTGTGCGTAAAGTTGCACGGAGAACAAAGGAGAGTCGCTTTGAATGCGCACTGAGCCGCTAGCCTTCCCCTGGCTGCACTTTGCTTCCTCCGGACTGTGTGGCACAAAAGCAGCGCTGGGTGGGAGTTGGTTGGGCTTTTTTACCCGGGCAGTGAGTGTGCTGTGTGGAGCAGAGCCGTGTCTGCGCCTCCTGCTCTCTCTGCGTATCTCTCCCCTCTCTGTGCGCGGAGCTGTTGTAGGACTGGCTATGGCCACCACTACTTCCGGGATCCGTCATTCCACTCGCCCACCGCTCGGCGCTGCGATGTGACTCTGAGCTCTAGAAGCAGCTCGCAGCCAACCTGCCAACACTCGCTGACACTCACTCATCTCAGTCTGAGATAGAGCGAATACCTCACGGGGGAACGCCATCGCTTCACTTGTGCGGCTCTTTCGCTTCGACTTTTGCAGCGATAATAAAACACGATAGCGATCTGGACGCATTAAGGACACGCGGAGTTACGGGATGAAAACGGACTAAAAAGACTCGTCCTTCTCTTGAACATCATCGCCGACCGTCATTCATTCATTACCTTGACAACCTCTGGCTTTGATTGACAGCTGGAGTGGCAAAAAGCCATGAGACACGACAGTTTAGTTACATGCAGCTTGTTGATGGGCCGATTGTAACCTTCACTTCTTGGGCACAATATTTTTTTAAACTTTAAGAAGGAAAACAAGAAAAATTGCAAAACTCCCCTGATGCCACGCTTTTTGCTGAGCAACACTGGCGAATAGGACAATTCGCAAAAAAGTTGCTTGAAAAAAGGGACTCGCTGCCTCTAAATCTTTTCTGCGGCGGGACGGGGATATTAAATATACGACAGATTCAGGAGTTTATTGGAGCGCAGCCTCATGGCGCAAAGGGTAGGTTAAACAGTGCTCCGTTTGCCCTGATTCCACTGCAGCCACAGTAGGGACGCGCACAGCACGGCACAGCACGGCACAGTGGACATTTTAGAGCTGAGTTTGTGTGGAGCGGCTCTGGACCACGGGACACTCCACACGTCTCACGCGCACTATGTTCCTGGTCCGTTCAGACTAAGCACACTGCACACACTTTTGCTCTGTTTCACGCGCTTTGTGCCATGTTTAGTGACCGCTGTGTCTCTCTGCAGTACGATGAGCTGGCCCACTACGGCGGGATGGACGGCGTGTCCGCGTCCATGTACGGGGACCCGCACGCGCCACGGCCGCTGCCGCAGGTCCACCACCTGAACCACGGGCCACCGCTCCACGCGAGCCAGCACTACGGAGCCCACGCGCCTCACCCCAACGTCATGCCCACGAGCATGGGCTCCGCTGTCAACGACGTTTTAAAGAGGGATAAGGACCAAATTTATGGGTAAGGCGAAAGAGGAGACGCGGAAAAGGAGCCAGCGTTTTTCCCACAAACTTTTTTCCTGTTTCTCCACCAAATACACGGGCTTTTGTCAAGGAACCACCGCAATTTTCCACAGCCATTGTTGGTCAGGGGAGTTTTGTTGAAGTGTAATTTTAGACGCGCTGTAGAAACCGCGTCAAGCCGGCAGTAAGTCAGAGAGAGCCCGGAGCAGAGGCAGGAGAGCGGGGAGTGTGAGCCCGGAGCAGAGGCAGGAGAGCGGGGAGAGTGGAGCTCAGCAGGACCCACTCTCCGCGGAACGACACACACTTCACCCACGAACCGAACCACCGCTTTACCAAAACACCACAACACTTTATCACGTTTATTACAGTTTTGTTTTGGACGCGCAGGGCCGTAGCATTTTACACAGAAACCTCCTCGAACTCTGACCACGCACGCCACCCTGCTCCAGCCCTCCAGAGCTGGTGTATTTATGCACAGTCTGGAGATACTCGGCATAACTTTTCAAATATATTTTACGCACCGAGTCTTCTGTTCCAAAGCGTATCCACTTCACACATCACCCTGTTATAATTCTAGAGCACGATCGCCAAGTTAAAAATACATTTGAGGAGGAAACGCGTAAAAATAGGGCTGTTTTTGTGAGTTTTAGTATGCGTAATTAGCTGTAAATGAGTGTATAATTATAATTTATGATTGGCGCTAATTGTATGAACCCCCTGGCAATACTTACGCACAGATTACGTATAAAATTAATTTGAAAACTTTTATTTTTATTACTGGCTTTACTCCACGGGCCTGTAAAGGATAAGTACAGAGCCTGATCGCGTATCTAATAACACTCCTCCGTAAAAAATGAGAGGTTTTACGCACGCTCTTCGCTTTACGTTTTACCCCAGAAAAGCGTCAAATATGTCATTACGACGTTACGCACAAGTTTAGCTGAGTGTTTACCGCTGTCATAACCAAACCATAATTATGACAAATTTTTAAATTATTTCTGAAATCTCCAAACTCAACCTACAAATTATGTGATAGTCTTTACACTAACAAAAGCGTGTGCAAATAAACCTTTTGGTGTACACGGAAGTCTCCCAATAGCGCCCAAACTAAACCGAATTAAAACTTTTACGCACAAGTTATCATTCGTGTTTACGTTCCAGAATATCGCGCTTTATAAATGTTATTGGGTAGGGTTTTTTTGTGAAAGGGGAGCACACACACACACACCGAGTCCCAGCGCCGCCTCACCCCGCCTGTGCTGTGTGCTGTGTCTGTTGCAGCCACCCTCTGTTCCCGCTGCTCGCTCTGGTCTTCGAGAAGTGCGAGCTGGCTACGTGCACTCCCCGAGAGCCGGGCGTCGCGGGAGGAGACGTCTGCTCCTCGGATTCCTTCAACGAGGATATCGCGGTGTTTGCCAAACAGGTCCAAAAAGCACTCAACTCACTCCTCCATATTATTTTTTTACAGTAGTGAAAATATTCTTGTGTGGAATGCCCCGTAAAGCAGCGTAAACATTACTTATTTTTAAGCATTTATTAAAAAAATATTGTGAAATCTGTAAAACTAAAAATTCAGATCATCTGAGCGTTTCTGTGTGTGTTGTTTTATTTTAGGTTCGGGCAGAAAAACCTTTATTTTCATCAAATCCAGAGTTGGACAATTTGGTGAGTACATTTCCCTCTTGTGTGCTCTGTGTCTATTACGCACGGCTTGGCTTCAAACGCTGCGTAAAACCCGAAAAATTACAACTGCATGTGTTATCTTTTCCACCCATGTCTCCATCCGTGCGCCTGTCCAGTTTGGGGCGAGCGTGTTTGACCACACTAACCATTGCCAATGCCCCGCTGTCCCTCTCACTGACCGCTGTGTTAGGGGCTGTGTGTGATGTGTCCTTTTTGGGGGTTTGGAGCTGTCATGGAGCCACTCTGTGCGTAAAAGCGTCCGTGCGTAAAAGTTAAAAAATCTCCTTTTGTCTTTTCTGTGTCTTTCCAGATGATACAAGCCATACAAGTATTACGATTTCACCTCTTGGAATTAGAAAAGGTAAATAAACTCTCTGTGTGTTTTTCTATGTTTTAATAGTGCGTAAAATTATAGAACATGTTAGATTTTTACGTGGCACGTTTGAAAGCCCATTGATAAAACAGGTTAAAGCCCCGTGTCCCTTTGCGCATTGTTATCGATCCGCAGATTTGGTTTCATCCGCGCATCCCTCTCCAGCTCACGGCGCGCTGAGTTGATTTTGTGTCGTTCAACTTGTTGCTCAGGTCTCAGAGGAATAATACGCGTCCAACTATTCTTACCATATTGTTTCCTCTTCACCGTTAATGCCCCTTAATTACGACTAGTTATTCTTGGACTGTGAGCGCAACGTTTCACTCACATCTTCTCCTTTTTGGCTGTGGAAAAAAAAAATATATATATATATATATATCTTTTGTTTTCTTTCTCTTTATTATTTTGGGAACAATAGGTGCACGAGCTCTGCGACAATTTCTGCCACCGGTACATCAGCTGCTTAAAAGGAAAAATGCCAATAGACCTAGTCATAGACGAAAGGGACGGCAGCTCCAAATCCGATCACGAAGAACTATCCGGATCGTCAACAAATCTCGCCGATCACGTAAGTAACAAAAATGTTCCGTAATATCTCAGCTGGTGATGCGTGTGTGTGTGTGTGGCTGTACGTAGCGATGCATTAATAATCCCATTAGATCTGTGTGTGCTTGTGTGTGTGTGTGTGCGTATTTGGTGATGGCACATTTTGGCTGCGCGCGTCCCCTGGGGTCAAAAAGCGGCGTGTGATCCAATGGATATTGTTTTAAGTCCTTTGATTGGAGCCACTCGTGCGCGCGTGCGTGTGTGGGGGTTCGCGCGCACGTGCTGGATATTGTCTGTGAGGGCGCGCGTGCCCGTTGGTGTGTTGCTCGTTGCTTGCTGGAGAGGCTGTTGTGTTTAAAAAAAAAAAAAAAAAAAAAAAAAAAAAAAAGGCAGCCGTGCGTAATGAGACTATTGGTGACCGGACGCCGTGCATGCTTCACGTTGGATTACTTAAAAATTCTGATGGTTCCACATGTTTATTTATAGACAGTTAATAGTTTTGTTGTTGTGTATTATTATTATTTTGTGTCTGCATTGTTCATTGCTGGCGTTACGCTCCAAAAACGCGTGCGTAATAACAATATGTATTTACTTAATTGCGTCCGTAACTTAGCTCACGTATTCCCCGGTCTGCCCCACTTTGTTTTATCCCGTGCGTATTTGGTCCATTACGCAGTGATGTGTGTAGCTCCGGGCCATGGGAAGGGGGAAAGGAAAGGGGGGCGTCTGCAGTGGAAGCCGTGGAAGCCGTGGCCCGCGCGTAAAGCTGGGGGCGTGGGTCTGATTTTGACATGGGGACGGGGATCAAAACAATAAGAGCCTTTATATGGATTCATAATGGAAGCGACTTGTAACGATGCGACACGCGCGTCGTTTTTGCTCGCCGGGGCTATTTTAAGCACGTTTTTTGTCTCGAGTTATTCTCCTGTGTTATGATTTACTCCTTTAATTTCGCGTTTTAGTCGTGATTAATCGCGTGGAGCTTAATTGAATACACGTAACTGAACGATACTCCAAAAAAAAAAAAAAAAAAAAAAAAAAAAAACAGCGCGCACGATTGTTACGTCGGATTAACATTTTAATTAATTAGTTAAACGCATTCCCTCACCCTCAAATACATCCACACACCGACTGCAATTACGCGTGTTTCACTTACTGGCATCCTACGTCGTTCTAACCTGCCAGATCCGCGGCGAGCTATCGTATCTGAGAACAACTTTCGCGATTGATTTTTAATGCGTAACAGCGTCCATTAAAATCGCCCCGTAGCGTCACTTTTTTTTTTTTCTTCTCACCATTTGCGCGCAATAATTCGAGATTATAGTTCGAGGGCCCGCGGATTACGTTTGCAAAGGCGGAGAAAGTGGATTTAAAGTGAGGTTAGGGCTTATTCAAGTCAAGTTCAGTTATACGTTGATGTTAATGTCTTTTAATTGTTTTCCATCGATTGCCGTGCGGTTTGCTGCTGCTGCTGCCTCTCCTCCTCTCTTCTCTTCTCTTCTTCTCCCTTTCTCTTTCCCTCTCTCGCGTTTTTATGACTGCAGGCTGCCATCCGTAAAGCTCTATTCAATTACGCGCACCTGCGAGTACAGTAGCTTTAAATTTGGCGATCGATTTGCGCTCGGTTCAAATCGCCGCGTTTTTCGGCTATTATTAAGGAAGTCAGCCCTGTATCTTGGAGGGATGACGCGTTCGGTTATCATTACGAAGCTGACGCGCGGGTTATTATGTCAATGCGAGCCGTGTCCCCGAGATTAAGACGATTTTATGGCCGCGGAGACGCACACCGGACGCTAAAGAGAGTGCCGCCATCGCGAGACTATTAGAAGTGAAAGCTGATTTAAGTGTGATTCGAAGTTACGGTGATTACGTTCGCTGTAAGCTGAGGGCTGCCTGGCGAGGGGCCCAATAGGCTAAAGTGTGGCGAGGAGGTGCGTCACCGGCGTGGTAAGGGAACACGCGGCCACGTCACTGCCACCACGACCTGGAAATGAGAGGAAAACTAAAATAATTATCACCAAAACACAAAGCGTACCGTGTTTAATTTACAACAAATATATCAAAGATGCACCATGCAACTTGTCTCGGCTCTGCTTGTAGTAGAAGTAGTAGTAGTAGTAGTAGTAGTAGTACCGTGTTTGATTTACGTAACAAAAATCAAAAATGCTCTATGCAACTTTTCTCAGATCTGCTTGTTTCCATTGAGATGTTAGAATGTTCTGCAGTGTGGCATTAAACTTGAAGTAGTGGTAGTAATAATAGTAGTAGTAGCAGCAGTAGTCGTAGGTCTAGTGGTAGTGATAGTAGTAGTAGTAGTAGTAGTAGTAGTAGTAGTAGTAGTACCGTGTTTGTGTTACGTAACAAAAATCAAAAATGCACTATGCAACTTTTCTCGGCTCTGCTTGTTTCCATTGAAATGTCAGAATGTTCCACAGTATGGCATTAAACTTGAAGTAGTGGTAGTAATAATAGGAATAGTAGTAGCAGTAGTGGTGGTAGTAGTAGTAGTAGAAGGACCAAGTTTGATTCACGTAACAAAAATAAAAAATGCACCGTGCAACGTTTCTCGGCTCTGTTTGTTTCTATTGAGATGTTATTGCCTTGCCTAAAATGTTCCACAGTATGGCATTAAACTTACTTAGTAGTGGTAGCAGTAGTAGTGGGGGCAATAGTAGTAGTAGTTGTTGTTGCAGAAGTAGTAGTGTAGTACCAAGTTTAATTTACGTAACAAAAATCTAAAATGAACTATGCAACTTTTCTTGGCTCTGTTTGTTTCCATTTAGATGTTTATGGCCGTGCCTAGAATGTTCCGCAGTATAGCATTAAACTTACTTAGCAGTGGTAGTAGTAGTGGTGGTGGCAATAGTAGTAGTAGTAGTGGTAGTAGTAGTAGAAGGACCAATTTTGATTTACGTAACAAAAATAAAAAACTGTGCAAGTTGTCTCGGCTCTGTTTGTTTCCATTGAGATGTTATCGCCTTGCCTAAAATGTTACACAGTATGGCATTAAACTTACCTAGTTGTAGTAGTTGCAGTCCTAGTAGTAGTAGTGGTAGTGGTAGTAGTATTAGTAGTAGTTGTAAGAGTAGTAGTAGTTGTAGTAATAGTAGTACTGTGTTTAATTTACGTATCAAAAATCTAAAATGGACTATGCAACTTTTCTTGTCTCTTCTTGTTTCCATGGAGATGTTATTGCCTTGCCTAGAATGTTCTGCAGTATGGCATTAAACTTACTCAGTAGTAGTAGTTGTAGTACTAGTAGTTGTAGTAGCTGAAGTAGTATCGGCAGTAGTAGTAGGCTTATTTGTGATCGTAGTAGTTGGAGGCCTAGTGTTTCCATTTAGATGTTTATGACCATGCCTAGAATGTTCCGCAGTATGACATTAAACTTACTTAGTAGTGGTAGTATAGTAGTAGTAGTAGTGGTGGTAGTAGTAGTAGTAGTAGTAGTAGTAGTAGTAGTAGTAGTAGTAGTAGTAGTAGTAGTAATAGTAGTACCGTGTCTGATTTACATAACAAAAATCAAAGATGGACTGTGCAACTTTTCTGGGCTCTGCTTGTTTCCATGGAGACTTATTGCCTTGCCTAGATTGAAGTAAACTTACGTAGTAGTAGTAGTAGTAGCAGTAGTAGTAGCAGTAGTAGTAGTAGCAGTAGTAGTAGTAGACTTATTAGTGGTGGTGGTGGTAGTAGTAGTAGTAATCGTAGTTGTAGGCCTAGTAGTGGTGGTAGTAGTAGTAATAATAACTTTGAGGGCACACTGTTGGTAGTTGTAGTAGTAGTAGTAATAGCAGTAGTAGTAATAGTAGTAGTAATAGTAGTAGTAGTATCATATTTGATTTACGCATTAAAATTTAAAGATGCGCTCTGGAAATTTTCTTGACTCTGCTTGTTTCCATGGAGATGTTATTGTCTTGCCTAAAATGTTCCGCAGTATGGCATTAAACTTACTTAGTAGTAGTAGTAGTAGTAGTAGTAGTAGTAGTAGTTGTAGTAGTAGTAGCAGCAGCAGTAGTAGTAGTAGTAGTAGTAGTAGTAGTAGTTGGAGGCCTAGTAGTGGTGGTAGTAATAGTATTAGTAGTAGTAGTAGTGCTGGTTCTGGCAAAAGTAGTTGTAATAATGGTCGTGGTTGTGGTAGAAGTAGTTGTACTAGTAGTAGTGGTTGTAGTAATAGTAGTAGTAGTAGTAGTAGTAGTTGTAGTAGTGGTGGTACTGTATTTATATTGAACAATATTTGATTTACGTGATAAAATTTAAAGATGCACTCTGCAACTTTTCTCCTTCTTCTCTGCCTGTTTCCATTCAGATGTTGTTGTCTTGCCTAGAATTTTCCGCAGTACGGCATTAAACTTACCTTTAAACTCAGGCAAAGTTACAAATCAGATCCGCGGAGAGACGAGTCCGCTCACAGTAAGAACGTCAGCGGAAAATTCTCCGTTTTTTTTTGTTTTAAATGACGATTCCTTTTGCAATAAAATCCTGTAATTGAATCCGCGCACTGTAAATAACTTCGAGGACGCACTCTGGACAAGCTTTCCTCGAACTTTAAAGTTACGTAGTGTAGCTTTAAGTCATGGTTATCTATAGTTATGTACAGTATTTGGAAATATCTGAAATCCTTCCTAAACATGTTTGGTACTTCCTATCAAATTACCATGAAAAGAAAACATCTGTATTGCGCAAAATGGATGTTATAATGTCGTTTCCTCATCGCAAACAGACCTGGAGTTGTGTTTTGTTTCATTCACACACAAATATTTTATACTTGGCAATACAAAAAAATGCTCCACTGTGTTTTTAAAGTCTATATATCTTCACTAAAATCATTTGGATCGGGTATTTTTTAAAACAAAACACAACTCCAGGTTTGTTTTTGTTGACTTAAAGCTCGCAAAAGTCAAGTTTGTGTAATATCGAACGTTTAAAACGCAAGTTTTTGTCGTAACACAGCGAGTTTTTGAGTCTAGTCACTGACAAAAAACATTTCCCTCGACATTTGTCCATTTTTATCTGGGATATTTC